TTGCAATGCAGGGCAATCGTCACCGGGAGGGCGTACGGCCTAGGGTTTAGGTTTTTGGTGGGCGCTTCAAAAAACCTTAGCCCAGAATCAACAGCCGTCTGTGGGACACAACGACCTACACTGTACATAAGGGTACCTTGCCAAAACAAAAACTGCCTAGAACAAACGAAGCCAAAGTACCCTCAATGGGCTTGAGAGAAAACATGTGTTGAAAGAGAGAACAAGACCCTAGCTTGCTTTCATGAAGTGGTTTTGTGAAGAGGCATAGGGGTTTACAGGTCTCGCGGTGCGATTATGGATACTGTATACCGGTAGGCGCCCAAGCCTCTGGACTGTCTGAAAGCGAGGGCCACTGCTGGGCAGCATAAAAAAGGGGACCCGCAAAAAGGCTCTGGCATGGATTTAGAATGCATCCTTGCGTGACTCCCCCATTGTAGGCAAGAAGCCCGCGCAAGCTTACAAACTTATTGTTTGCAGCCCGGGATATGCACATAGTAATCATGGTAAATCGATAAGGCATTCTTGACATGCTGCTCTGCATGAAATTGGTGCATTCCAGAAATCGGAAGAAAAAGCACATGGTGGTGCTGGCCACTTTTGGGAAAGCTGCCAGGAGGAATCCAGACCACTATTCACGTCCGCTTGCAACCTCTAGGGCTCTAGACGTAATTGCTGCTACAGGGATTATTGAGTAAAAGCCGCTGTCGCTGTTGCTGCAGACCAGGCGACTGTTGATCAGTTTCTGAAGTCTGGACAGCCAGTCCTCTCAGGTGAGAAATCTCTGGTCACGTTTCAAGGACTTTTTGGGGAATGTCTGCGTATGCGCGCTATATACGCAAAGCTATACTAGGCTGTACTCATTGGGTACTTATGACAATAATTCCCTGGCCACGGTGCCTGCTTCTCAGCCCGGAAAAAAGTACTCAAGCGCGAATAAACAAAAGCTAGGGCCAGGGTGAGGTTCCTCAGACTACCGACCAACAATACTTGAGAAGGAGCGCCGAAGAATGATGTAGGTAGGTATGTAGGTATATAGGTGTTGCAATGTAAATGCGCCAACGCAACGTTGCTCTTCTCATTTATGGGGTTGCGCCGGATGGTTCTGGCAGTACCGGCTCCAATGACTCCAATCAGCAAATCGGAAAACAGAGGCATACGGAACTGCCTCCAAATGTTCGAAGAGGTCGTCCTCATTCCTGCAGGGAGCCAAAACGGTTACAGGAGGGGTTGGGTGTAACAGGTCTACTTAAGCGCTATCCTATACATCAACCAAGATACACCGTAAAACTGTTCCTGGTTTGCAAGACACAGAAGGGCAGACCCAACATACCGCAGCTTTCAAACTGTACTCTTGTCTCAGCCCGCCCTGCGTGTAAAGATTTGCTTGGAAGGAAACACGGCTGTCATACGGTTCGCATGTCTGCAATCACTCCAAGATCGAACTTTGGATTCATTTGGTCTTGAACGCGACGTTCACAGCATCCTTGGAGAGCCCCGTTTCATTCCGAGAAATCTCCGCTGCAGGAAATCTCCACCCCTACCGCGAGACCCGCCCTTTTTGGGGCAATTCATTTTCTCTAGTGGACCATGTACACCCAATCTAAATTATACATGCGATTCTTCAACCTAGGCATCCAACTGTTCCCAATGTAGTTTCCTCTCATTATCCTGCACATATTCTGTCAGTTCCCTGCGTGTGGGGTATGCCTTATACCTTTAACTCCGCACATTTCTGCCTAAAACTCTCACCCATAAGGGCTTACAAGGCTTCAATACCCCTTGACTCTAATCCTCAAGCCCTTCTTTACCCTACGTTAACCCCAAAACATGCTTCTTTTTGATCACTCGACACACATGAATCTTTCAACATGTCCCTTACACACTCCCTAGAAAGACTCAAGAATAGCCTTCTTACTGGGTGTAGCAAGGAACAAGTGAACATAGTAGGTGTGGATTATATAGCGATTGTATTCCTTGATTCCCTACTAACCGCTAAACCCTAAATAGTAGATTCCATTCTCTTTTCCACTATCCCTCCTACATACCCCTATATATCCATACATAACCCTATATACCCTTAAGTCCTTTACACTACCGGTCCTGTTGTCGAGGCGTAATCCTGGATTTGCCAGATGAAAAGTGTGCGACATGGCGCGGTCCCCGCAACCAAGGCCAAGGGAACCCCGGACTTGGGATTCCGGGTAGGATATAATATTATGGGGGTTATATAGGGGTTACAGGGTTATACTATAGGGTATATATTGGGGTTATATTGGGATAATGGAAAATAAAATGGAAACTACTATTTAGGGTTTAGGGTTTAGGGAGTAGGAGTTAGGGTTTAGGATGTAAGGCTTAGGATGTAAGATTGCTCAATGGAACTTATGGGGAGTACAGTGCCTAATTTCATGGAAGGCCGTCGGCCTCTTCTTGGCTTCCTTCACGGAACTCGCCTTTATTGAAACCACAAGGTTCTGTACATCCTTGAAGGATAAGTCCCTCCCATGCGTTGGAGTTTATAGTCCCCCCTAAGTAGATGGAATATGGCTTTGGGTATGTTATAATAAGATCCCCATATACCCCATATTCTATCCACTTAAGGGGGGCTATAGGGTTTGGGTCGTTGACACTGCTGACACGTGGACACTAATTCGGGATGTTAGAGACATTAGCCTCCACCTGGACCTTCAAAGAGGCCCGGAAGATCAATGTGACAAAATAATGCCAGTCATTTTTCGAGGAATCCACGCAACTTTCTTGTTCTCCTTAGTGTACATCAGAGGCTGCTCACTAGGTTTCTTAATTGAGACTACTGCCTCGGCAGTCACTGTGGCCTTCACAGCAGCGGGGCCAACGGCAGAGTTGGAGGAGGCTTGGGTTCTAAGCTCCTAGAAATTAGGGGTACTATTTTGGGGTCCCCATAATAAGGATTATAGTATATTGGGCCTATATTGGGGTCCCCTTATTTAGATAAACTACCATATGGGGTTTAGGGTTTAGGTTCACTTGTGCTGTTTGACCCTCGCCCAACGTACTCAGGCCGACCCCTTGACAATGGAGACGCAACGCCATCATGGATAATCCCTTCCCCCTAATTTTAAAGACGGTTCAGAGTATATACATGTGGGGAGGGGGGGGGAGCCCTTCAATATTAGGGACAAAGGATTACCAAACTTCAGCTGATGAACGCGCCCTGCTCACTGAATCCAACAGCCTGCGCGCAGCAAGGATTTTGCGGGCCAATTGCAACTGTACAAATGAATGAAGCAGGCAGGGGATGGGCCATTGAACCCAAACTGTATTGCAAGTATATTGCAAGGAGCAATATGCGCTTCTTGATAAACTCCAGCGCATGAGCCCTGATGGACTTCTAACAAGGCACACTGCGAAAAGAAGAGATGATGATATGATATCTAACTGCCCATATTAAGTAAATAGAATGGTCTTAAGCATTGGGGCCCCCGCTTTTGGTGTCCCTGTCAGGATACCCTACAAAACCTTCACGGCATAACCCTGTCGTCTACGTACTCCAAAGCAGCTCAGGTAATAAGGGGATGCGCACCACACCAACACTGAAAATCAGGTCCCTGTTACTGTAACACTGTTACTATCACATGACTCTCATATAGTCCTTCTTATACGGGTTGGGATTACCAAAGTATACTCATCCTCAGGAAGTACAAGGCTTGTCTTGGACTTGGCACAAAACGTCGCACATAATATGTAGGGGTCTGAATAGCTGCAGCAGATGATTGGAAGAATTCTAAGCTGGAAGTAGGCCTCTAGACACAAATGTCTGCAAGCATGCATGTATGCCAAAATCAAACAATGCATCTTCAGAAAAACTTCGCTTTTCCAGGTTAAAAAACGAAAATCGGCAGAAACCTCGCAGCAAACGCACCCCCGGTACTGCTGTTTCAACCTGAGGATCGGCGTTCCCAGTGTTGGGCCACTGGACTAATGGGTGGTGAATGGGTGGCCCCAATTCTGGCACATCGCAATACCGCACCTCATTTCAAAGGTCATGCCTTAATCCGTCCTGGTGTTGGCCCTTCCCCCGCTTCAAAACACTTCTTCAAAACACAAGTAATCTTGCCACGATGCCGGCTCAACCTTGCAGGACCCAGATAGTCAGCCCATGGTGGACAAAAGCTACAAATTGAACAAGTGATTGGTCCCATATATCCTCATCACTCCATATACATATATATATATATATGAGCGCCGGCTTTTATTTATTTCCTGGGCCTTATGCGGCATTTTTACTCCACGGCCCCTCATCGGGTTCGCCTTATATTTGATCTTGTGTTTTGCGTTGACAAAATCACCTGATCTCCTTCGCCACGTTGGAACATGTACTGGGCTCGTATGGCAAAACAAGCTGTGCCCCATCTCGTTCAATCCACGGCCCCTATCTCCTTCCCAGAGGAACGCTGAACCCAAATGAAAAATACCAACGCGACTAGCCTTATACTCTCTCACGTAAATACGTGCGGCTGCTCATATATATATATATATGTGTACATATATGTATATGTATATATATCTACGTGCCCTGAATGCGCTATCGACCCAGGGATGACTCTAGCTCTACCGCAACCCTATGCTCCCTTCCTGAAAGGCCTGGGTGACCTGGGAGCATTCCGGATCCCAGGAAGCTGATTTTTGATCAAGCAGCTGTGTGCCATAGCCCCCTCTAACATACGATGCCCACAAGGAGGATATGATCTTGGGCTATTTGGGGGGTCAAGAGTATCCCCATTTTTTTACTACTCAAGAGGGTTCACGCATCCAACATATGTGGCTACGTGGGGTTCTGGAGGAACGACATGTGTCATGGGTTTGGGGCAAGTGTGTGGCTGTCAGGTACTTGGACTCTGTGGTTTCAAAACGGCATACATTGATGCTGAAGATGTTCTTTTCAAGTAAGCTAGAGCACGGTACGATCATGAATGCTGCGCTCCTGCATGCTGAGGGCAAGGTCTGCCAAGCAATGGAAATCAGCCGCCACAGCCACCGCAGCCTCCGCACCCCCCACAACTGCCGCACCCACCCGCATCGCCGTCGCCATGGTCTCCACCTAAGGTCTGCAGGCTTGGGGCTAGCATAGCGTGTGGGCTTCCACTAGTCAATTGCAATTTTGAAAACAACTCTCAAAACGAGTAGTCTGGTAATGAGACGAGCTCCAGGGTTTTGACGTGAGGTCCTTTGATGTGTGCCTTCAGAGGGTGCATGGAGGAAATCTTGCACCAGCTTCTACCCTAGGACTTACAGCATATTGGGGATACTGGGTGGTGCAAGATTTCCTCCATCCATGAGAGTTACATTTCAGTGGTACCATGGGCTTCTGGGCCTTGCGACTAAAACTGTACTTCAGACATGTTGGGTTCAGGGTTTAGGGTTCAGGGTTTAGTGTTTAGGGTTTGTCCAGAGGGTTGGGAGTTGGATGTTCACATGGCGCATGCCCTCCGCCTGCCTCCGCTTCAAAAGCTGAGAACTTAGGACTGTAACCCTCAGGGTCCAAGTACCTGATAAAGATATGCCTACCCAAAACCTCAAGTACCACAATTACTAATACCAAAACCTCAAATACCCAAGTAATTATTGGGTACATGGACCCTCAGGGTTACGGGTTGATAGCTGGATAGGCTTGCAACCCTGGCCCCTATCTGAAGCGCAGGCGATGCTAAATATGCTTCGGATGCCAGACAAGGAATTCCTGCCTGTGAGTGTCTGTGGTGTAGGTGCTGCACTAATCACTATTCATGGACTTTCTCCGAAATGGGCCAGAAGAGAACCAAAACAACAAACTAGTACACGACAAATTACTGGTAGAATCCATGTCCAATTACAACATGGATGACCGCACTTGTAGCAATAACCATCACCATCACGGCAAAAAGTTCACTACCAAGTAGCGAGATGATCAAGTAAGCAGTCAGACGGACTTTAGGACACAATTACAAAGGTCATGCCAGCCCAAAGCATGGCAGTGAAGTCACCACCATCATGACCGTCATGACCGCCATGATCACCATGAGCACCAGCATCCCCATCTCCCCAGTCATCATGAGGGTGTTCGAACCTCCGAGGCGAGACGTCTCAGGTTTGGGATGTAGGTTTTGAGTCCAGCATTCAGGACCAGGACCTAGGAGGCTAGGCAAAGTCATGCAGTTTTTTCCCGAATCCGTGAAATAAACAATGGGCCCTGCTTTCGAGGCAAGTAAAGGGACACCAGCCCAGCAGCTTTTTAGCTTACTGTTTTTGTTACGAGTGCTGCTTGTATTGCTACTACGACAACTTGTTCTACAGCTATGCATATTCCTAACCCCACAACTGCATAGTACGACCGCTACTGTTACTGACCTATTGCGATCATGGTAGAAAACTGCAGCATAAAAACTTGAAACACACATCATCCATCCACAGAAGAAGTAAGGTCCAGGACCATAACATCGGGGCTCCCCAAGATGCGGTACTGTTAGGGACCTCAGGGATGCATCCGGATGACAACAGGATCTGGGGGTTCCCTGGTTCTTGTTGGAAGGTCATCCTCAAGCTTGAGGTTGTTGAGGGCCTAGAGCTGAAGCCTAGCCAGACTTTGAATATGACGAGTCCTTCAGTGGACAAGGTGCTTTATGAAGGTGTGGGGTGTAGGATGTAGACCACGCGCAACGACATGTAAGAACCTCAGGACTTAATTCTTAACACATGCCTGGAAGAGATTTCCATAACCAAATTATGCAGGACCACGACGACAACACCAACACCGCCGCAGCCACCAGCACCAGAACCACCACCATGACGACTACGACGACTACTACTACTACTCCTCCTCCTCCTCCTCCTGCTGCTGCTGCTGCTGCTGCTGCTGCTGCTCCCGCGGCTGCCGGCGGAACTATTCATGCGGCCATTCAGACTTCCAGAAATCTTCATATGTTCTCGCAGCTGTCCCTACTCGCATCTGTCCGTTCCTCAGTCCTTTCAGAACTAGACATGTCAACTCGCAAGCCGCCGGGTGATGAAGTTTTGCAAGGCTAGATGCAAAGTACACATTTTGCAAGCACAAACGTCCACACAAATATTTTGTAGCACGTCTGTAGAGGAATTCCGGCTTCAACCTGCCAAGGCACACATGGATTTGTCCCGCACCAAAGTAGTAGAGCGTATCCACGTCATCGATGTACACGCCGCCGGCATCAAACGGCCTCCGCGGCTTCTTCTTAGTTAACTGAACCCTCGCAATTGATCTTTAAAACAACACCTTTGCCAAAAATGCATGACCCTGCTGTCAAATACAAGTCTTGCTTAAGCAATAGCAGTTCTTGCCTTCCGTTAGTGCAGTGCAGCGATGATACAAGTTTAGAGCACGCTTCTACGGAAGTGCTCATGGCTCCTTGGTCTGTGGGCAAACTTAAGGGAAACATGTTTTTTCCCAAGAGAACAGCTATCCCCATCCCCAGCCAAGGCATCTTGGCCTCTGTGGTTAATTAGTAGTTAGTAGGACTGACGACTGACAGTAGCTACTTCATTTCGCCTCCAGATAGATCACCTCCACAGCCCCGTCGCACCCCTGATTACAGCATGATGGGGTAATGATTTAATGGCGGGGAAGTTTGTGATTTATCATGGAGCGAGTAGTGACTTTCATGTTCGGGAAAGCATATTTGCAGCCAGACTGTGACTCTTTTGGATATTGCAATCCAAGGCGCGTGGAGGTATCCGTTCCCCGGCGTAGTGCAACGCCACATCGATGCGCTGAGGCTGGATGGATCTCCCCACCAGCTGCCATCAACAAAGAATAGTTCCTCACATGGAGAAGCTACAGGATATGGTCACATGCAGGGCAGCGCTGGCCCCTAAGTGAAGCTTAAGGCACTGAAGCGTGACCACGACATGCAAAAAGGCTCCTGAAAGGCTTCACGAACACCCAGGATAACCCAGGCCTAAAGCCTAAAAACGAAAAAGTAATATTACCTGCTGGTTCGGAGAAGAACCTGTAACCCCATCGATGTTCCCAAACTCCATCGTTTCCACCGCCCCGCGTTTTTCAAGGACTTCTGAAAATTGCTAATTACGTGACGGCAAAGCCAAAATCCTAAGAGTGGATTCCATGCAAACACCTACCTTTGCACATCCATTTGGCATCTTCTAACGCTTAGTAATTCTGAAGACAGACAGGTAAGGTGGCTTCATGGGAGCCAATCCAACGTTGCAGCTACTCGAGGGCTCTGAGAATCGACTTTCCATTGGGACCCGTCGTCCTGGTACAAGCTTTGTACGTCCGATTGTGAGAAGATCACGGGATGGGGACGTCTATTTAACGAAGTGAAAACTTCCACAGTTCGAGGTCACGGATTCGTTTCCGCAACTAGCTAGGAGTCTGAATCCCAAGAACTAGCAAGGTGACTTAGCAAGAACTTGTGTACTAGAACCCACCTGGGGCTACTGTCGATACCGTATGAAGATGTTATGTCCAAAACCCTAAACCCTCCCCAAACCTGAAGCAGCCCTTGCTGCCAAAGGGTCCGCTGCTGCACCGTCCAGGCCTGCAAGTTTCGTAGAATGCTTAGGCTTAGGCGGCCCAATTAACGACCCCCAAAAGTGGAATCCTTAATTTTAGAACTCCCCCATGGGCTTAGGGTAATCACACCTTATGGATATACTGTAGTCCCTATAGACTTCAGGACGCTGCGAATCATCAACGGCTGAGGTTTGGGTATCAGAGTTGCTGAGCAGGCACGTCTCGTATGTTGGCCCACACATTTTGTAGTTTCCCTAAATACGGTGGCCCCAATATAGACCCCAAATACTATAATCCTTATTATAAGGACACCAAAATGGTACCCCTAATTTTGAGAAACCCCCACTTCAAGGTTTTGAGTGTAGGCATCGTGGAGCTGGGGTACATGCTTTGTGGCGTTGACTCCAACTTCAGTTGGTAGGTCCATCAAAGTCCGAGATGTACCACCGCTGCAATCATCATCGTCGTCATCATCATCATCGTCATGATCCGCATAATCCTCGTGCGCAAGTCCACCATGTCACCAGGTTTAACCAAATCTGCGCTTGGGCGTCTCTGCTACTCTAACATAGCAGTATAGAAGCATATGAAGGGGGTTCTGTTGGAACTTCTTATTTCAGAGCATAATAAGGGTTCTTAGAGGAAGGCTGAACACAGCTCGCGCCTTGGAGTGACGTTCCCTCTTGTTAGACTGAGATCCTACCTGGGATCCTGCACTGATACACCTTACCAGGAGCCCCATATAAGACTAAACGATACTATGTTATACTATATCTTATTATGTTATGTCATACAACAGTCTATCTTCCTTGATCTACTCCAGCGCCCAATTGCTGAGCACACGGGCCTCTACGATGAACTTACCAAATGCGACGGAAACCCAAGACAGAACACCTGCCATGATCCCGCAAACCTCCTCCCCATGAGAATGTGGAAAGTGAAGCCCAAGCTAGGTAGGCATGCTACGAAATATGAGCGTTATCTAGACTGGTAACTTGAAGAGACTATGTATTGGGTATAAGATATTACCTGGCTCTAGCTTGGGGATTTGCCATCATACACTTATCTGACCCTAAACCCTGCAAAGCGCTACATGACCCTATAGTCTCTGCTTCATGCTCCATGTTCTTTTGCACTTGATTCTGTGTGATTGGCTCCTACCCTAACACCTCAACCCTGTACACACACATGCGTATATACATATATATACATATATGTATATGTGTATATATATACATATATACCCACCCCATATACCTTCATACAAACACCAATATTGCCTTTTTAAAGCTTCAGCATTTACCCACTTTTAGTCCAAGCGGCACATATGTATATATATATATACATATGTACATATGTATGTATGTATATTGTATTTTCATATGCATGATATGCTTCCCATATATCCTAATACAAATACTTCAGTTGCTTACTTAAAGCTTGCTACTTAGAGCCCAAGAGGCTGGGTAGAGGCTGGTGGCCCCTGGCATTGTTGGAGCTGACCTGCCGGTGGGCGGCCGGAGCCGTGGCCTCACTGTACGGGTGAGGGTTTAGGGTTTAGGGTTCAGGGTTTAGGGTTTAGAGTTCAGGGTTTACTCTAGTATTCAGAGTCTATAGTTCAGTGCCAAATAACTAGCAAAAAGGGGGAAGTCGATTAAAACAGAAGATGGAAAATGCAAAAGAAACTGGGTCCAGATAGGAGGTTATAGGGATTATGTGGTGTAGGGTGGCCTGAATAATTACCAACAAGGAATCCAAGACCATACTGTTGGTTATTAATATTCTGGCTCCTACATGTACCCCTCCCCACGAGTTGGGAGAGTGAATGTAAGCCTAAACGCCCCAATATACTATATAATACTTTCCATTTTCTTTTCCATCACCCCTATATATACCCCTGTATAACCCCAATATGACCCAATATACTATATAGTGGCATTCTAGGGTTGATGACATGAATTGACTTCCTCACTCTCCCTCCCAAACAACAAGGGGGTTGGGATGCTGTAGGGATGCCTGCCAAGACTAACATGGTAAAATGCGCGTTGTAATGGCAATCCTTGCAGAGTCAGAATATGAAGTTCAAGGTTTCAGGGTTTGAAGTTTAGGGTGTACCAGTCTAACGCATACATGCATAGAATGACTGTTTGAGATGTTTGAAGCTAATCTGCCGATGTGGGATATCGCGCGAACTTGCGAGACTACCCACGGAATCCCTGGAACGGACTTGAGGAGAAGGCAGGGAAGTCGTCCATTTGTATCGCGGCTGAGCATGTGGCGATACATTAAATGCAGGTTATGCGAATGTAGTTGAGTCTCTGTGAGGCTGCCGTGCTACTGAATAGTTCAAACATGCCTGCAAAAAGGCAAAAGCCCTTCGAGCTCCAATAAGAAGAAACAAAAGCAGGATCACGCAGCATCCATGGTAATAAGCGCTCCAAGCCAAACGTGAGGCATCCGTATCTCTGTACATAGGTGCTTTTTCAAGAAGTAGGGATCCCTTTTTGAAAGCTCCATGGTAAGGGTTTTGTTCTATTAGGATGTATATCGGGGCTCCCGCAGCAACGGAAACTCCCCCTTTTAACCCTAGACCTTTTACCTTAAACCCTAGACCGTCAGCACTTACGAAAATGGCAGCTGAGCCGCTGCAGGCCAACATGCAAAGCTGCAATGGCCAGTGCAAAGCCATAACCGACCTGGGCTGTGATGAACCAGGATTTAGGGATAAAGCTTTAGCTTGAGGGCTTAGGGTTAGGGACTGGGGTTTAGGTTTTAAGGATTAGGATTTAGGGGTTAGGGTTTAGGGTTAGGGTGTTGAGTTTAGCGTTCAGGGTACATAACCCCGATATTAAATGTTCATAGATATTGCGAATATCTTGTTGTATACACGATGGGGATTATTGAATATTAGGGGAGGGGGCGGGGTGAATCTCGGGGGGCGGATTACGTTTACCTATCAAACGTGGAGCAAATGAAGTGAGAGACGGAGTAGGAGAGAGGGAGAGCCTGGCAGAGGGAGACAGAGAGACAGAGAGAGAGAGGGTAATGGACAGTATTACAATTATTAAACTAAGTCCTTACAGCACAAGAAGTCCAGAAATCTTGCGGTGTCTCGACATTGGTAGATCTCGACTGAGGGTGCTCTTGCAGCCGTGCCGTACCCCGGATGTGAAATTCTACCGGGCAGCCGCCATGGAGATCGTGTTTGTGAAGCCAGAAACCTTTCCGGCCGCCACGTCAATCTGCAGGGTGTCATTGCCTCAGCCAAGGGATTTGTGGGATCTCCAAAGTTTGGTCTGACAGCAATGGTACAGGAGCAATGCTGCAGGAGACTTCCGAGACACGTCCTGACCGACTCCAACCAAGGGACTTGGGGCTGCAGGAAAGTCTATTGGAGATTATAGGGATAATGGAAAAGAAAATGGAACCTTCTATAATACAATAGGGTATAAGTGTATATATATATATATTGGGGAGATATTGGGGTAATGGAAAATAAAATGGAAACATCCATAATATAACAGCATTGGATCAAGGGAAGACTACGGCCCCTACGGCTTGCCTTCCGCCCTTTTGAACATAGCCCAAGCGTCATCTCGGAAGCATGAGCCCAGCTAAGGGGAAGCAGTAGGTTGAGGGCTCAGCTGCTGAAGAGCTTCGCACCTCCACCTGACCAATTCAAGCACAAAGCCACGGCTAAAAGCAAGAGTCATGAGTCCGTAGCATGGGCCTATATTCCTGGGCTCCTATATAACCCTCGAGAAGTGTTGACGTCCAGGTGTCGGGTAATATGTTTGCAAGTGCTTGAAACAATTTGGCCAGGTTGTCTCAAACATAGCCGAGATTAGGGAAGTGAAGGGCCTTGCCCAGAATTACGGATACATGGGTTTCTGGTTCCGGAAGAATTCCGGGAGGGTGGAGTATGAGCTCTACAGGTTCTAGGGTTAAGCTGCGCATGAGAGAATAAATCAGCAATCCTGCTTCACAAAACCTCACACATATCCAATTGCCCTTCGGGTGCTTCAAAAGCTTCGCTGGACAATGACCGCCCCCTACCCTCTGGAATGAGGACATTTCTCGAAATTGAGGCTCAGGCGCTTGAACCTTAAACATCCTGCCAAGGGAAGAACAGCTGCCCAAAATAAACTACACCCTGTCATCGCATGAAATCCTGTGCCTCAGTGGATGGCCAAACCCCAAAAAGCATCCATATACATCAAGATAAAAATAGCCCTCCTTGTGGCAAACCCGGAAGGGACCCATGATTGTGAAAATGTCAAATAGCCCTCCTTGTGGCAAACCCGGAAGGGACCCATGATTGTGAAAATGTCCCACATTTGCGCTGCGCTTATCTCAAATTGGCCACGTCTGCTAGCGGCAGAGCAGAGATGTTCTACATGACTGCTGCAATACAATAATATACTCTAATGTACCATATTATGCTATATACTAGACCATACTATAGTATACCATGATATATTACAATATACCATAACATACAAAAATATACCATAATATACTAAAAGAGACTGTGCCCAGTTGCTGGGCACGGAGGACCCCTGCTACCAGTGCTACAGCTTCCTTCAACTTCCATAGCATAGCCCCAGTGCCAGACGACAGCCACGGAGCGAGGGATTCTTTTATTCACACACAGCGCAGGGTAATAATTTATAAGAATTTCCATTCCCAATTTAAGGCCATTTTGTTACTACTCCTTATATAAACCGCTGTTTAGGGTGAGGTCGGGTGAGGTTGCCTTAAATTGCCTAGACAGCTTCAGAAAAGGAGGCCTCTTTCACTGGAATCAAGACAATAAGGCGGTGAAAGGCAATTTCGTATGCCATGCAGCCCTGTCCCCTATCAATAAACTGTGTGGAATCAGGGGAAAATGCAGTGAAACCCAAGCATCTGAGTCAATGCTGGGGCTTCTTATCGAAAAGATTCGAAGAAGAAAAATGCCCCCTAAGGGTTTCACCAAAGGTTTTTTCCTATCTTACCTGCTTGTTCCCAGCACTTCCACGCACCTCGGTCTCTGAGTAATTCTTCCTCAGCTGATCCGGGACAAAAAACATGGAGAAACGAAAAGCACGTTCTGTTTGGCTTAGGCTTCCAAGGATCAACCGACAGCAGCTCCTACGTGCACCTGTTGCATATGAAACCTTTTTAGAGGCCAACTGTAATCGCCGCTCAACACCCTGTACCATTTCTTCAGAAGAAACCACAAGCCTTCAACCTGAACATCCACCCCAATCCCAGCACCTCATCAAAAACCTGAATTGAAGTTCAAAACAAAGACCCCATCAGTCGGGATCCCAGGTTCAGAGTGAAGAGTCTCAGAAGCAGTTGTCCAGGCGATCCGACTGGTGTCTTGGAGCCTCGTCGCTTCTTGCCTTCCAGGGGCCAAGGGTGTAGGGCCGAGGGATTAGGGCTTGCTGCTTCGGGTGGATTGAACATCACCAAATATTAGGATCCTATTGAAGAATTATGCCCAGACCATGCGGGGAATGTGAAGCAGGATGTCGATAAGGAATCAGAATCAGAACGAGATCTCGATCTTGAGTGATGCCATCTTGCCTATCCTATCAAGGATGCCGCCTTAACTACCTGCTCATCACAGCCCACGTCGCTGCAAAAGCCACAGCACTTCACTTTGACGCCATGGTTGCTCGGAGCTGAGCCTGGGGATCTTATTATAATGTACCCAAAGCCATATTCTATCTACTTAGGTGGGACTATAGCTTCATGCTTCCTGGAGCCCTAGCAGGCGGCATGATGATGCTCCTTCCTGAAGCTGCCGCTCGGCGGTCATTGGCAGCTTCGAGGGGAGCCAAGTGGCTGTGCGTTCTGTTCATGGATACTGATACATACTAGTGATGGCAGCAGAAGTACTAGCTTTCATCTACTCCCGGAAGACCTAAGAATACTGATTGCAACATTACTTCCAAATATGATGGTTATCAGTTTCAGAGGAATAACAGCAAGCTCGAGCCGACCTCGCGCCGGACGGCCGGATCGAAAACCGGCCCACCTAAGTCGGCAGGGATTTGATTTAGGGTCTAGGGTCCTAAGTTCCCTCAATTAATTACCGCCCCTGCTGATACTACCCCCTAGGTCCCCTTAGCATTAATCAGCCCGAGCTATCCCAAAATAACTCTAATCAAAGAGAACTTAGGGAGGTAGTATGGGGGTGGGAGGAATCTGTTCTTAAATCGGCCCTTTGTGGGACTCAATACTCAAAAATGGATGCTAACATCTTGGTACAAAGAAGGGGAGCCCGCATTTCCGGGTAATATATACATGCGAATATCTCCATCTCACTCTGGATGAGTGGTTGCACGTGGAGCCCCAGGCCCAGCACTAAGACCCGAAAAGAGACAACGTTGCACTGGAGGAGCTAGGCACTCGCCGATGAGCACAGCGACATCATCTGAGGCGACCCGAATCAAATAGGCCATCTCCTTCCACGCAACTGGGCTTAAGATATCTGGCAGCGATCATCTGTATATATATATATATATACTCTCAGACTGCGGAAGGCTATGATATGAAGACCCTCCATGACTTGCGGGCACTTTATGGGGATGTTCTAGATAGCAACCACGAAGATTTATTATGCAGGGTAGATATCCCTGCGCTAGACTTGCATAGGCATGATTGATCACGTGGGGGATGCCGAAATTATGGTCCCCTTTTCACACATAATTCAAATCATGCAGGACATTGTCCATCAATACCATGAAGCCTGTCCTGTGTTCATGAGGCTATGTTTTTATGTTTATGGTTGCTGGTTTGGGCTACCAGCGCTAGCTGCTCTCATTGCTCATTACTTGTAACTGTACTTACCTTGGAGAATGTTGGGGTTGCGGTTACCAAAGATGGGGCTGTATTATCATGATGATGATGATGATGATGATGATGACGATGAGAGAGATAACCCTCTCTTCGAGGCCAGGTAGAACCTCAATTGTCACCCAGTGCGCCCAGGAGTTTAGTATGGGTTCGGGCCAAGATTATTGCCTTTTTTGCCATGGTACCAAGATTACAGAACGAAGGGCAGAAAACTTTGCCATGGCAACCAACCTTTTGCACCACCCATCCCGCCTGGGGCTCCAGGGTAGGGCACCTTGCATCATAGCCAACCTGCAAAGATGCTGAGGTGATATCACCAAAGGAAGCTGTCACAGAACCTACTTGAGGAAGATCCCTCTACACTGGTACACTGGCAGCTCCAAGTCAAGGAGTCTTTCTTACTGGTTCTTAGTAGGGAATAAGGGCATATAATCCCAACAAACCCTATGTTCCCATATCCCCTACTGAGAGCCAGTAAGCTTCGTTTTCCACAGCCCCATGACCTGAGCCACTTGAACCGCTAGGAGCTAAATGGGGTGAAAGGAAGGTGGGAGCACAACATCTTCATATTTGTTTCCATTACCCCTATGTATCCCTATATGTAACCATACAAGTTACACTTCTGACAATGCCACGATACCATAGATGGAGATCTTGTTGCTCGATTCTCGGTTTGCTATGGTTTGCTTACGTGTGTTCTTGTTGGTGTTGGCTTGGCCATTGGCTTGCATGTCATCAGAGGAGCGGGGGTTTGGGGGGTATCAGTTGAAGCCCGACATACCTCCAAAGTCGCTTCACGGGACTTCCTATGGTCCTATGGGAGATTTCGCATAACATTGCTTAGCACTCCCGAGAGAGCTGATTCTGCTTCCATTTGCCTCCGTACAAAAGACCCCTCAACAAGAAGTCTGCCCTTGATCTGTCCTGCGCTGTACGAACGGCTTGCCATTTTGAGGAAGTTAGTGCTCACATGAGCCATAATCTAAACTCCTAGTATCCCCCCTAATAACCCCCGTAATACTCCCTATATAATGCCTATTTAACCCCTTTGAAGGAGTTTAAACTATGGCTCACATCTTTCTTCAAGCTCCCTTGCGGCCTGGCAATCTTGATTCAATGACTCACCCCTGTCCATCCGCAGTCTATTATGGCCTGGCAAATGGTCCCTGGTACACTACCCTATGAAAATATCATGCCTTTTACTGTTGCTGTTCATGTGTGTATATACATATAAACACTATGGATATTTTAGCTATGAAAAATTACCCGAGAGTGTTCAGAGCATCGACAAAACTGCCTCGTCTCAACCTAAACCCTCAACAACATACCCAGCAAACTTGCGGAGAAAAAAAGCCACAGAGCAACGCTCATATGAGATAGAATCTAAACTTTTTGAAGGGGGTTATATAGGGTAATATATAGGGGAGCTGTATGGTGGTTTTTGAGGGGCATACTAGGAATTTAGACTATCGTCCACATTAAGTGCCTGAATATCCTGGGCAAAAATGTGTGGCTTCCCAAAGTAGGGCTGGAGCCTGCTTCTCGCGAGGCAACTGGTCGGAGTTGATGGAATGTGCTGTGACCACAGGGAGAAGCTTCTGCGGATCTTTCATGACCTGCCCACATTCTGCAGTCAGGGCAGGGAACCCCTTCTGTAGGTCATTTGTGCGTTTTTGGGGACATGTCCTGTTTTGGGAACATACACTGACATAGACATGGAGATCGTATCAGGATTTTGGTTCCCTCTACATACCGCAAGAGTAGGAGAATAGGATCTTCGTTTCGGGGGTACATGAGATGAAAAAGGATCACTAGGCGAGATTCCAGGAATCTGGGTCATGGGGCCTACGGGTAGGAGAACTACTGCCAGTAGCCAAACCCCAAAACAACCGTATGTCAAATTTTGTTGAACTGTCTTTCAATCACTGACTTCTGTAGAAAACCTGTGACAGGCATGATTCGTATTCGTGGTAACCCCGAAGAGAAACCTGAAATACAGCACCAAAGCTCCACATCAACCCTACCTGCCTTGTCCGAAACCATTTGTAAGACTATCGACTGATAGGGCGTTCAACACTTGTTCAACGCTACAGAACTCTGGGCCGTTGTTCTGTGGTGACCCATGTTGCAGACTGATCTGAACTTCAATCTTAACTGACCCTGGGCCCCAAATCTGCCCTGACTGGTGAGATGGCCTCCACATAGCTGAAGCTTTTGTCCTTGGTTCTGCCATGCACGACCTGGGCATCGCATTTCAATTCCCATCATATGGGAGTTTGCAGAAAGGGGGGAGCTGAATAAACACTTCCCCATGGAGTGCAACCCTTTTTTTTATCTAATTCCGGGAAGCCCCCGCAATGCTAGTGGATTTTGTTGAAACCTGTCCATCGTGCAAACCACATCATGACCGCATAAGTGGGAGAATGCAAGGCTGCCTGTGCGTTGAGCGTGCCGAGCTTGGAGAAGCGTCGAAGTCCTATGACAGCACCTGCCTGGCGGGCGATGTGGCTGGAGTTCTTGTAGGGAGGTCTTGAGAGGGTCCCTATATTAAGACTAGAATATATCAGGGTCTATGATGGCGCAATGATGCCTCCTGCGCTCCCACAGTGGATGTGTGGTCCCCGCGATGGGCCACTCTGATGTTTCTTTACTGGTCTTGAGGACTGAAGCAAGGAACCAATCTTGACAGTCACAGAAAACACGATTTAGCTCCACTCATATAATAGTTATCATGTTTTCCTTCCTTTGTTCCCTACTGACAACCAACAAGCTTAGAACTTGTTGATCAAGAAGCGGATGGCTTACCCTGCTCAAAGACTCAAAGCCAACGGAGCCTCAGCTTAAGGTCGGCGCTTGCAGTGTACAAGCCCGTGGACACACGCCAGCTACTTCAGTGAAGCTGGCGGCGCTTTGCAATCCCACCAGGAAGTTGCAAACTTCGCACTTTGAAACAACCCAAACCTTGGAAAGAACAACACAACGATATTCGCAGGAGGGTTGTACTTAGAGTTAGGATGTGCCAAGATAAGCTTCACATGGGAATTTCTCAGAACTCCGGCCCATCTTGCTGGCCTCTCTGACCAGATGTTGGGATCTTCAAGAAAGCATTTTTGGGGTCATCCCCTACAGAAAACCACGATCCCATTGTATCATATCATCCTCACAGACCGTGCAGATGAAAGCCTCCACATGGGCCGAAGAAGGCAGAACACATCACCCATTATTGCATACTACAATGCGCAGCCCTATTAAACACAAACCTTGTAAAAAGGACGGTACTGTTTACAGAGCCTTTTTGGGGGTTTCCCTGCTAGTTTGGTGCAGGATAACAGCAGAACCCCCCCCCCGGGCTCCAGTCTGCGCTAGCCTCGCTGTCCAGATTCCTCGAAAACTGTTGCGGTCACCATAGAAGGGGGTACGGCTGATACTAAAAGATGCTACCCTAGTCATGGAGACTCAACGGGACATAAAAAAAGGTGAAATGGAAAATGAAATGGACACTACTGCGGCCATTATGTTGGTACTAAGCATCCTGCATGACCTTAGTATGCTACAACACCATACGGCCCAAGTCTAAGGTACTTGGCGCTATGCAATGCAGGATGTTTAGTATCAGCCGTGAAAAACATCCTTGGTAAATCTGTGTTGGGTTAGGGGTTTAGACTTTCCATCAATTGGGTGAAGGCATACATTGAAACTGGACATTGGTATTTCCAACTGTACGAGATTCCTCTCTATATCCCCATATGTCGACAACATGTGTTAGGAACTACCCTTCAGAAAAAGCACCCCTAACTTCTGGAACCTCGCAACCCCATATAATCCCTATCCAACCCCTACATAACCTTATACAAACTCTGTAACGACCTCAAAGAAGACATGTTATTCAACAACAACCCAGGTTCCTTCGGTGGACCCACGCGATTTCAGGCCTGGACTCAGGGGGCTTGGTATAGAGGCATTTGTGGCTAAGTCCCCTAAAAAGGGGGCTTTGGGATTCAGGGCTTTTGGGTCTAAGGGTGTGGCATCGAGGGGGGTTTACTGGTGCTGAAAGCAGGCCCGCACCCTAAGCTGTATGATCCCACCCCCGCTGGCTTGCCTCGATCTGGGGCCCCTCTTTAGTGGGTTTCCAAATTTAGGGGTACCTTGAAGGGATGTATCGGGCTGGCCAGGGATGTATGCAGGGTTTACGGCTTCCTGAAGCTGATATGGTGATTTTTGAGGAACCGCAATCTTTCCAGGACTTTTCTTTGATTGACTTGTTAGCTTGGGGGGCCGAAGTTTTGCGTTAGATGATTAAGGTTCTTTAGAGGCGAGATTGGGGGGATATAAGCTTCAAGTAGGCTGTAGATTCCCTATCAAGACAAGGTTACTATTAGTCAAAGCTGTATTTGTCTTGGTTCTCAACCTATTTCTAACCACCTATGAACCAGGTCCACATGGCATGGTATGTCTGCGTTTTCTTTCGTGAAGCTCTGGGCCCTTCAGCAAACCTGCGCATCCCAATGCAAACTCCACATGGGTCCAGTTTGTCTGCGCCTAAACCTGCGAAAGTTGGCACAGCTTTGTATTCAAAGCCTGCGGAATTCTAAGCATGTGTGTGTTCATCTGAATATATGACGGAATATATACACACACATGAAACCAAAACGCCTGTGTATGTCATATGGCCCAAACTTCGTGAAGGCAACAGCCAGAATTCTGCTAAGAAGGCACAGTGTAAACCCCTGCCTTAGAGCCTAAACTCTAAACTTAAAACCCTATGACCTTAACTCTAAAGCCTGAACTCTAAACCCTATGCCCTAAACTCTAAACCGTGAACTCGTCACCCCTTTATACCCTCAGCTCTAAGCAATGAACTCTAAACCCGATACCCTAAACCCTGGTGGACGCAACACCCGAGACGCACAACACTAACCCCAAACACGACATCCCATAACCTGAAGCCCGCGATAGAATACCTTTAGACCCATACCTAAAACCCTATTTTAAAAATGCACACAGAATTCTAAACCTCAAGCCGTGGCCCGAAGGCTCCAAATAGCCCAATGTAGGTACTATGTATGGACTTAGATCCCTAAATGACCCCTATATCACCTCTGATTCCATGTAATTGTCCATGTTCTTATCGGTTTGATTCTCCACTCTCGTAATTTCCATTTTCTTTGCCATTCCCTACACCCCAAGCCCTAAAAAGTAGCTCCCATGTTCTTCTTCCCTTGTGAATTTAGGAAAATTGTGCCCAAATGTCACCTCTGAGGCGGAGCCCAGGGCTCTGCGAGCTCAACAGTGGAAGGCTGCCAGGCAGAGCCCGCGCGTATGTTCCTCTTGGGGTTTAGGGTTTAGGGTTTGGGGTTCAGGGTTGAAGGGTCCTGCATGACCCTAGGAAGAAAAAAGATCCTGTTTTACATGGTTATAGGGAATCCCATACCCCAAAAAGTATAACGGATCCCTAACATTGATCCAGATTAAGGGTCCTGCATGACGCTAGGTATATCATAACATCATGATTCCAAGGGTCTAGGTGCATAGGGTCGGGCAGGATATTTGTCCACCAACAATAATCAGGGATATCGGGGTGAAATGGGGGAATATAGGGTTATTGGAAAAGAGCATGAAGAAGTACTTCTTAGGGTTTAAGGATATTGCCCCGGCACTGGAGAATCACATGGAAAAGAACATGGAAAGTCAAAAAGAAACTGCTATCTATAGGGGTTCTATAGGGTTTAGGAAGTTTTGAGGACATGGGGCCCTTCAACATATCTATGTCTGTACTGTGTCAGCCATTGCATAACAGCTTGGGCAACCCTTCCCACAAAAGTCTTGCAGGCTGGACTCCCAAGGAGGAGTTTGGTGAAGACTCCACACAGGGCTTCGTAGTGTTTATCAGAATGTGTTAAGATACACGGTGATGTTATGGGGTGCTGCATTCTGCAGTGCTCTTCGAGGTTTTACGGTTTGGGCTTGCTGGCTGGCTGGCTGTCGTTGCGTCCTTGCTGCATCTTGCTGCTATATGGCACTGAATAACTACCAATCACACTTCAGGTTTAATTGAGGTACCCTATTACCATGGTAATACAAGCAATCTAGAACTACAATGTTCATAATTTAGGCCGTCATATTACCTCCTGCCAAGGCGCACATCTGGGCCGACCACTGAGCGCAAATAGTTCCACTGCTGCTGGCGACTAGCTCGTTCCTGGCCAGCTCTCAAGCTTCCTTTATCTTAATGTTTGTTAAATACAGGGAGTCATGATAACTCGTTGCACTGCATGGACAGTACGCAAGATGTAGGAACCGAAAGGGGGGCGCCCTGGTCTGAGATGTGTCATCTTTCATCGTTCAGCACTCATTTCGGTTCCTGTTGGGCCTGAAACCCACAGCGCTAGCTCGTTGTCGCTCAAGTCTTGGGATGGTCTCCCTGTTCAAAGCGGGCTACGCATGATACTCTCTTGGCGATTGTGGCGGACCGTCTGGTGCCCACTCAATCTCGCTCCGTGCTTGCCGGCCGGAAGACTGACATGAGAACATTGTAGAAAGCACTATACCTCAAGCCCGACCAGGACAGTAGGAATCAAGACCTGTTGCGCTGCCTGATCCATGGGAACCTCAGTGCAGCCTACAAAAACCGCAGCAATACAAAAGAACAATCGACATATGTTACAGCAAGGCTAGTGCTGAAGACCATAGCAGCATGGCAGCGAAGCTGAAATTCAAGGTGAATGTCACCACATCACAAGTGATGTTGCAACAGGACAGCAGCACTCGCCATGATGTGTCCCCTGCCTCCAGCGTCACCGTGCCACGGTACATACCGCCGCTCCAGTTTGGGCCATCTTCTTCAAATTCCTCCTGCGAGCTGGGGCCGCAGCAGGTGGTAGTGACAACAGTGCCGGCACAGGTGGCAGCAACAAAAAGAAAGAGGATGGTACCAGCTTGCCGGCAGCCCGCAAAGAGGTAGAGATTCAGTAGTGGCAGAAAAAGTGATGATTTCCACTTGTTCGTCATCGCCCTGCTCTTTGATGCCGTTGCCGTCGGTGTGATTGCTATTGTGGCTGTGGCTGTCATTCTGGCTGCTGCGCTGTTGTTGCTGTGGTTGGCGTCGCGAGGCTGCAAGTCGTGAGTATGAGGATAGTAGAAGGGCTTATCCAGGCCAACGAGCCCAAAAGCCGATAGTCAAGGTTCTTTGCGGAACCTCGAACCCCAAAATCGAAATACAAGCACACGCTGTACAAAGAAAAACAAACAGTTTGCCAAGCTTTCGGCCGATGCGTCTGATAGGAAGAAGACACCATCTGTTCTCTCAAGCCTTCAGCCCATACCCCAATCCTAAAAACCCTGCTGGGAACTTGAAGCGGGTGGCCCTTCGAAAGCCACAAAAACACTGTCAAGTCGTACCTGCGAACGCACCCCCCATCCTTTGTCTGACAATTCTCCCCCTTGCATTCCCATGTTGTTTTTCTTCATAGTGACCACCCGCAACTCGCAACTTCTTAGGAGAACTGCGTCTTCAAACCCTTACAGTAACATTCGGATCCCAACATCGCAAGCCCTACGATCAAACGGAAAGAATGAACTCTCTGCTATCCCGCCAGCCCCAACGTTCACGGTGCCTTCCAAGCTTTCTTCGTGGCCTCCCAGCGCACCGACAGCTGAGATCCAGAGCTGCGATCATTTACGCCTGGGCATGCAACTTGAGCCCTATATCTTAGGCTGCGTTTGCTCCTTTCCTTTGGATGGTACATCTAATGAAATGGCAATGTTTGTATGTTGCGATAGGCCCCATTTCTAGGAAACGCACATGTAGGCTTGTGCAAGTTTTAGGATCTTGGCTGATGTCTTCTTCTGATCATTGCGCAGCCTAACAACGAAATCATTCCTGCCTTAAAGAGGCATGTTCTCCCTGACTCCCCGCGTTCAACTGATACTGTTAAAGCATAATGCTCTCTAGGCTGCGGGTTTGAGCACGGATTAGGACATTGATCATGGCCACATGCCTGCTGCGTTGGTTCATGGCAAAATGGTAGGATCCTTCAGATCACTTGCCCACCAAAGTCCCCAGCCTTGATGGATGTTGGGATCAGGTGTTAAAAGGGGAGTTGTTTTGGGAGCCGCCCCCTGATACTGAACAGCACCCGACATGGCGTACAATGTATGCAGAATTATGCGCATGTGTGCATACATGACGTCAATGTGGTGCCGAGGAGCTGTCGTCGTGGGGAAGCAAGCGGCCACAAAGCCTCCGAGTGTCCGCGTGGTAGCGATTCGGGTGTAGCTGGTGCGCATGCCAAATGCCTGGATCTTCCGGCTTTGTCACATGCAGATTCAGGGCAAAAGGCATGAGCGAAAGTCTGTCATCTGCAGGTTTGGTTCCGTGCGTTGGGATGAGGGGCTATAGGATTGGGGATTTAACTTCTGGCCGTGTAAAGAGGTAAATCGGTCTGAGGGCAGGGGTTGCGGGATTTGAGAATTCGGCGTGATTTGCGCCATGTCTGGTCTTGTCTGTGTCATACAAACACCAGGAGTCGGATTCTTGCACCGCACAGGATGGAATCATGTTGAGCTGGGCATCAAGTCTCGACAAGGATTTCCTCAAAATTGGCAAGAGCTAACCCGCAACTACACTGCAAAAAAACAGCTACTTGGAGGATGTTTGGAGCATAAAAGTGAGACCCAAGACTTTAAGCACCTGAAGTCAACTATGGTTCACATCAGACACCAGCCCACGCATAACAACCCATAAGACTGGCATCGATCGCACCCTTGCAACAGATTTCCGAGGCACAGTCAATGTCGTAGGTCGGAACCCAGAATTCATCCGGGCGCCTTCTTTTCAGCTCCACAAACTTGTCCTGGATTGTTTGCTCGGATCACTGTCAACTGTTGCATGGCATCAGTCCTCCTCCAAACTGGTGCTGGTGCTGCCTTCTCCCCTCGCTCCAACTCCTTTTTTGTCCTACCCCTCCTCCCGACAGCACCACCGCTGCCACCACCGCAGTTCTACTCTGAGTACCGCTGCTGCTACTACTCCTACTCCTCCTCCTCCTACCACTACTACCACTACTACTACTACTACTACTACTAGTACTACCAGTACTACCAGTACTACCACCACCACCACCACCACCACCACCACCACCACCACCACCACCACCACCACCACCACCAGTCTTCGTGCTGCTGCCAGCGACTAGTAAGTGCGTGTCGCGCAGCCGACAGTGGGTCGAAAGCAAACTCAGGATTTGTGATCAACCAGCCAGCGTCAGGATGTGCCCATGTCTTCTAGGGCTTAGTAAAGGGTGTAGGGTTAGGAAGACCCTTCTAGCACTTTATGCCGATCTTGGAAGTTTTGCTTGGACATGTTAAGCCCCCATTGCCAGGTCCAAAAATCGTGTTCAAAGCCAAATTCCACAGCACCTTGGAATTTTAACCATGGAAGCGAAACACCGTTGTAAATAGTGATAGCATGAATGTTAGCATCTAGGTCACCTGAAGGCCAGGGAGGGACACACTACTATCCCAGAATATCCCAGATGTTAACATCCTGTTCATCTGGATGCAAGAAACTGATGGGTTACTGTCATGAGTCATCTAACAAGACAATACCTGTAAGGAGCTTAAATGAAGTTACCATAATGGGTATACATAGTAATTAATATGGTCTCCCCAATATAGTAACTTAAATTAAGTTGATTGGCTGCTCGGAGCAGTCTTCCTTCCAGGTGCTGGTTGTGGCTTCATCAAACCGAACACAAGAATCTAACCCCAAAGCCCATGCCACTGCCATTCTTGCCGTCACGACTGCCCCTTATACAATATTATGTGAAATATCATACTATAACACACTATCAAATACTATGATGTACTATATTATCCTATAATATACTATTACATACACCTGCTGCTCATCATCTGGAAATCTGTACGCTACTACGACGTCTCCTACCTCCCTCCTACCTCTACCTAGATGCATGGCTAGGAACCAAATATCTTTCGACCGCCAGCTCCAGGAAATAACGGTCCCGGTAATGGGGAAGCCTCATCAGACAAATTGGGCTTTGTCAGGATGCTTCATGTGCCCTAATCACATTGAACTACCATCTAGGTTGAGGTTGCATGCGGTCGCTGTGATTTGCAACAGTTCTGGGTGTTTGCACTTGAGTCATTGTTGCCCGCCTCATGTTTTATGCTCACAGAGTAGCATGCCTTCCTTACTAAAAAGAAAGAGAAACGCGGGCCAGACGAGGGAAGACGATGACCATGCCTACTAGCAAAGACCTCACGCCATGATCTTAAAACACAGGCTGGACATGCTGGTGCTGTGA